AAATCGGCATTATTGGGCAAATGGCAATTTTTTCCCTATTTTCTTTCTTTGGCTCAACACCTTTTCTGTCTATTTTTATTCACATTTTTGCATGGATTTTACTGAAAAGCATTGAAGGCACAAATTTTGTAAATTTTCAGTTTCCAAAGACTCTCCAGCTGTGGAAGTCACCAATCTTTGATGGCCCTTTCCTGGCTAATTATACCTCTGAAACGAGGCAAACTGCACCTCCTTCGATCACAAATATCTAGATTAGTTTTCAAGATGGATATTTTTTTTTTCATTGACAGCAAGGCAAATGAACAAGCTTTAAGTTTAAGAGATGCTACCAATACATGTAATTACTATGCCTAAAACTAATGAGCACCCGATTCAACTACGTCGTGACGTGACACATGCAGCCTCCCTTGGACCTTATTCTGTGTCACCAAGGCATTCGTCTGCTGAAGTTGAAAATAAAATGTTCCGGGGGGGATTCAGCTTCCAAAAGCTGGTAGCTCTGCAAGTGTTATCATTTTATGAACAACTAAACACAGGTTACACAATTCCTAGCATCTAATGTGAACAGTAAGAAAGAAGTTGCCTCTATCTTTGTTCTTTACATTAGCGCTCCATTTAAAATACAAAAATACATAACACTAACAAAATTCTCTTGCCCCATGAAGTTTTTGTAATCAGGATTTTACTGTAGGCCTATATCCCCCTCCTGCTGACAGGAGAAGACATGATTATGGACGCTGGAGTGCCAAAGTATGTGTCAACAGCCAAGAAGTGTGGCATCTGTGGTCTATTGCTTAGGCTCTCCAGACTCTCAGCCATAAGGTTTTGGGTTCAAACCCCATCAGGGGCTCAGTATTGTGTCCTTGGGGCAGGCACTTTCCATAAATGTTCTTCACTTCACCCAGGTAAGAATGGGTACCCAGCTTAGCGTACAAGAAACCATGCGTCCCGACAGCCCTCTGTGGAAGGAATCTGTGAGGGTGGGTTCTCGCGTGTCATTCGCTCGCCGTATTGTTCGCTCGAAACTCAATTACTCAATTAGGTGCAAGGCCTATTGTCTTACCTTGTGTGTAGTGTGTAGTAGGCCTATTAGTGTGCGTGTGCATGCATATAACGCAACGCACTTGTTACCGGTAGTTGTTGCCTATTCTTGTAGCGGTATTTATACAGTAATATTTCTTCACATTGAGTTCTAACATTATACTAAGACTAAGATAGATTTGTTTTGAATGTGTAGGCCTACAAGGTGAATTTCTGACGGATTAAAAGTGTGTTTTATTGTGTCAGCAAGGGCCACCATGACAAAAAAGTGTTCCTCCTCAAAGTATGACAGTAAAAGAGGATCGGACAAGGACGTCAGTGTGTATTCCTTTCCTACTGACCCCAAGCAATGTAAGAAGAGGGTCGACAGTCGACAGCATACCAAGACACAGGAAACACAATGAAGTGACTAGGCATTTGGGTATTTGCAGTAGATCTATACACTGACCACCCGGTGCTCCTATACTATGATCAGAAAATCTAGGTATCCATCTCCTGCTGTTCCTCCCGGTTCCTTCTAGTGTACCCCCATCTACACTGCGTAATGCTGCTCATTCAAGAACAACACAAAACTCCAACAGTGACTTCAGAGGTCGGAATATGGACATTGAAGCCGCTGACTTGCTGACTTTAAAAATTCTCTTACCCCATGAAGTTTTTGTAATCAGGATTTTCCACTTCTTTACAAATGCAATGCAAACATCAGCAATTTTCGAGAAAAACTTTGTCATTTCTTAAAAACAGCAACAGCACATGATGGTGTAGTTGCAACGGATGAGGATAAAATAAAGCTTACAATCCTCAGCTCTCAGCGTAAAGGACATACTTGGTTGCTGCATCTATATATGTGCACCTGTTTGCAAGTGAGAGTGATACAATTGAAACTCTCCACTTCTTTACAAATTCAGTTTCAAATTTCTGTCACGCTCGGGTGGCTGCAATCATGAGACGATTTGTGAACACTTTTAACTTAGATCTCGTTGTGTCTAAGAAAACCCTCACATGCATTGCCAACATCTTCCTGAAAAGATTTGCCATTCAGAACAGGAGAAACAGTCAAGACTGTTGATCGAGTAGGAAGGCAACGAAGCTCTCGTCCAAATCAACAAATATTAAGGCGTATATATATATATATATACGCATATATATATATATATATATATATATATATATATATATATATATATATATATATATATATATATGCATTTTCAAATGGATGTGAGTTCCTGATTTTTTAATTAACTTATTTAATTAATTTATTTATCTATTTTGTTATTTTTCTCGTTTAATTAAATGGCTTTCTTGCACAAGCTTATATTATTATGTTTTTGATTTTTTTTAAAGTAGGCCTATTCAACAGACAAGTACTCGATACGGTACCTTTCACAGGGGGCTGCCCAGTTTGACATAGGCCCAGTTTGTCACAATTTCATTTAATTAAAGTACATGTATGTAGATCTAAGTATTGGTGAAAGTCATAATTACAGCCCTCTAACACTGCAGTCGTAACTTAAGTTTTTTTTTATTCTCCACGTTCAAATAGATATTGTAAAGATAGTCCCTTTTTATATCAATTCAGCTTGTGTTGTTCATATTTCTTCCCTTTTGTGTATGCAAATCAAAGCAAATTACTCTGTAAAATTTGAACAAGGAATGTTCTTTCGTTAAAAACAGTAGAAAAATAAAATTCAATTCATACTACCAATCAATCATTCATTTACTCTTGAGAGTGTCAGAGATAACTTCCATCATGCAGGGCACAGTCGAGGCGGGGTGGGCCTGTGACAAAGTGGGTCTGTGACGAACTGGCATGCTTCCCTTTCACATATTACATATTATTACTATCTCCAGTGTATAGTATATAGCCAAAACAGCTTCCTTGATATCTAACTGGAGATAGTAATAATATGACTACAAGAAAACTAAAACATCTTTATGGTTTATCACACCAAAGTTGAAACTGAAGCCCAGCTCATTTAGAATTCTATAGACTATCATGCCAGTAAGTGTTGGTCACTTCCTCCTCTACAGACACTCGATCAATGTAAAATCATGCTTGTCTTTCGTGACAAATTCACTGCAATTCAGTTTGTTTTTCCATTGGATAGATCTGTTCTCTTTCCGATTAACGCTAAGCAGTAATACAAAATCTCTAACCATTATCTTCAAGTATTCCCTTTATTCATGTTTTACCAGCAAACATTGTAGTCATAGGCCTATTGATGAAAAAAAATTTTTATTTTTGTCACTCATCTAGATTCAAGATCAAGATCAAGATCTAAGATCTGTATTTTTCTTTTGTTTCACATTTCTCACAACACTTGTACAAGAGCGGATAGATTGAAATCCCATTCATGTTCTGCGACATCCTGAATAAGGAAGGGGTGGGGTATTAAATAACCAGCGTTTGAACTTTGACGATGATTGATAGTTCACCCCAAGTACGTGTAATTGGAGGCACTGTATCGGATGTTCTACATTAATTAGTATTAACCTATAAAGTTTGTGTGTGTGTGTGTGTGTGTGTGTGTGTTTGTGTGTGTGTGTGTGTGTGTGTGTGTGTGTGTGTGAGAGAGAGAGAGAGAGAGAGAGAGAGAGAGAGAGAGAGAGAGAGAGAGAGAGAGAGAGAGAGAGAGAGAAAGAGAGGAGGGGGGGGATAGAAGGGGAGAGGGTGGGTGTGTTTCTCTACCGTTTGCCTTTCGTTGCGAGCATAGCCGCATGCACACTAAGGCTGCCAGTCAACCCCCCAGTTTCGCCACGCCACGAGCGGGTACATGTACACTGCATGGTTTCTTGTACGCTAAGGTACCCAGCTATAGACAGAAAAAGATTGTGTCAGTTTGTTAGTGTTTTAGCATGATATCCACAGCTGACACTGTCTGTCTCCCAAAAAGCCAAAATGTTTCTGAGTTATTTTCTAGGGTCTGTTTGGGTAATACTACAGTGGGTGTCACATTCAACGAGATCACATTCAACCAGAAGTCGGCTCCAAGAAGGCAATCCTTAATCCCCGATTTTTTCCTCTCTCTATATATATATCTCTCTCTTTGTAAATGTACGTCAGCTCCAACGAGGTTACAAACACCGAAGTCGCTTTCAACGGGGTCGCAATAACCAAAAAAGCACTGAACGGCCCCAAAAGCGAAGAATGTTTCTCCTTTCTCTCGATCTCACGCGAAGCGCAAGGCCCATCCTCGATTCCTCCTGACACATTGTATTACTAGATCTAGTGTGCCTCCTTATATGGGCCCCAAAGCGAAGAGGATGGACAAAGGTTAGCCTATGGTAGGGATGGGAGGGGGTGGGTGGGAACGCAATGCGGGCTGTGTGAAACTGGATGAACTCTGGATGGGTTGGTCTAAATCGAGACCTTCATTTTTTTCAATTTTCTTTTCTTCCCCTGATCAGAAAATCCAAGCTCCCGCCTTTACTTTATGTAGATCTAGGCATAGATGTGAGAGGGTATGTTTCCACACGAGAAGTGTTCCGGAAAAAAAAAAATTTTTTAATGCAGAAATGAGTCAGAACACAGCCCAAACACGGGCACACTGATGCTGTTTGAGATTTTCGTCATCAGGGGGAACAACTGTTTTAATTACTGGCATTGGTGCATCGTGTAATATAATAACTTGTCTCCTTTCTTTTCTTTAGCCTTAGTCACGTTCAACGAGAGGTCGGATCCAACGAGAACAACAAGCCGGTCCCGGCAACCTCGTTGAATGCAACACCCACTGTAGTTGTCAAGTGTATTGAGCATGCTGCAGAGCATGGACATGAGCTATATATAATATAAAAGCAGTTTTTAGGGTTATTGAGTGGAAAAAAATAAAATCTAGTCTCCCAAAAAGCCTTCTATGAACTGATAAAGAACACTGACACTGACACAAAACCTGTTGAAGTGCTTAAACAAAACAAACAGAAGAAAGCCACAACATATCCAAGATGAAAACAGCCAATTGTCAACAAATTTCACTTTATCTTCTTTTCCTCTTTTAAACGTTTTTTCTTCAGCTTCTTCTTTTTCTTTTTTTTAGAGCTCTCCGGGACTACTTCTGTTTCTGGAGCATTCTTTGGGCTATTAAAAGAATCTGTCTGAGATGATGGGGCAGGCACCATAGAAGTCTTTTCCTCCACACCTTGAAGAGAAGCCCGAGTCAGCAGTTCATTTTCTTGTCGGATGTCATCGACTGAAAACACGCACGCCTTGATCTTGTCGTCATCCGAGCTGAGGATAAAAGAAAATGATTACATTTTGTAACAATGTCAATGCTAAAGTATGTAGTAAGGCACATACTGCATAGTGAACAGATTTTCAGGTCCTCAATTTTTTTGCTTATAACATACAATATTGCAAGCAAATAGTGAACACATACAAAGTGAAACTCACACATAGAGACAGATTTTCAGTCCTCAATTTTCTCTTAAACATGTACAGTCCAGCTAGCAAATAGTAAGCATGTACAGAGTAAAACTTGCACACAGTGACAGATTTTCAGGTCTTCAAAGAACAAACATCTGGGATTTTCTTTCCTTTTGGTATTTCACTGTTTGGGATATGGGATAAGCCATGCTCATTTCAAGCACTTTTTACTGTACATGATATGACTTGTGGATGGTCTATGTAATGCTAAATGCCGAAATGTTGGTCTGAATCCCACTTAATATATAAGGACCAGGTGTGAGACAAACGCGTGATGAGGAAAGCCAGTATCCAGTCATGCGTGGTGGGCGGACAGTGTGAGAGCGCTATGCTGTAAGTACTATGACTGTAGTCTGTGATCGCTTGACTAAAGCAAACTTACCACCTAAAGGCGAGCTCAGCTCAAAGATGCAACCCAGCGCAGGAGATTAGATGTGAAACAGTTCACTGCAGATAAGTCCTTCTCAAATTTCGCTTAATTACACCTTTGCAAAGAAAACCTTTCTCATTACCTGAGGTGCTTGTTATAAGCCAGAGACCACCGTATTGCTATAGGATATTATATTAATAATTATAAGCCTTATTGTACAGAAATGGTAGCTTTTGCCCCTGCAAGGGCGAAAATCTGACTGGTCCCTGACTCACTTCGACGGAATTCGATTGGCAGTGTGCAAGGAGTATTACCTTTCTGATGAACTTGTGCTTAGCCTGTGTTTACGTGGTACAGCAGGTGACACTTTGTGGGAAAGTGGGGGAGCAGGCGGTGGTGTGTCTTCACCCATGCTTAACCTTGTAGAATCAGAAAAAAGCTTTATTCCTGTGGAAGACAAAACAAGGAAAAGCAAACAGGAATTTTAAAAATGAACAAGTAACGAAACACAAGGCAGATTAAGGTCAGAATGATTTGAAATGGTAAAGCTCATCCTGGTAACAACAAATTGTAAAATGCTTAGAAATTATTTTCAAGTATGAACACTTGCAAAATGAAGGTGATCTATTTTTATCAGTCATGTTGGCATAAATCTAGCTCTTCCAATAAAAGTATGCAATGAATACCTATTGACAGTTAAAACAACCCTTAAAATAATATTCAATTCATATTCTTGAATATGTGGGTTTCATAACAATCTAACATCCTGACAAAATGTTTGGATGTTCTTAGAAAAGCAAAATTATGCTGATCTTTCCCCATCACCAATAGAGGCCCTCCAAGTAGGTTACGCTGTGTCTACCCCTGTCTCAAATGCCTTTAATTTTGTCAGGGAGAGCATTGGTATTATAACTCTAGCTAAAAAATAAAAAATGGACTGTGCCTTGGTGACCAGTATCATCATATTTGTCTTGTCAGAACAGTACTTCCCACTTCAGATCCCACTGCTTGGGAGCAAGGAAAGTGTGGGGATCTTAACTCTTTGAACCCCATCGGATGCTGGAAGCATCCAGCGGTAATAACCCTGTTTTCAAATCGGATGCTGGGAGCGTCCAGTACTAGTGACAACTGTTTTGTTTTATTTAGTGCCAGTTTTTGTTTGTTTTTCTAGAATTATTCCCGAACCAAGTTTTTCAGTGATGGCTAAGCCTTTGTTTCTGCTGTTTAGATTAGAAGTTGGAGGCAAGCTTTTAAGGGTTATAATGAGACATAGTGCACTAGGTTTAGGTGACTAGAAAAAAACTCCGGAAACGGTAGAAAAAACTCAGGGCTTAATAAAAAAAAAAGAGTTAAGCGAACAGGATTTCAGCAAAATCATCAGGGGAAGAACCCAGAGATTCATGGTCAGGCCTGCAAACAGTAAAATGATCTCCCTTTATTTTTAAGTGAAAATAATATTTCTAACGGAGTGTTCCTCCCTCATGTCGTTTAACACATCACTGTGTTGTGACAGCTCTAATTAAAACAGTGGGATTTAAAACAAAAAGGGATAACAAATACTTGGATCTTTCAAGAAGAGACTGCTGTATTGTGATATTGTGCACTACTTGCTGCTGGTAAACCTTTGAATTTATCCTCAATGTATGTACTATGCACTGTACCTACCTGCACTTTTTCAAATTAGCTTCAAAGATGTAAAATATGGCTTACAGGCTCTAAGGCACAAAGTATTATACACTGAAGTCCGCTTAAACAGAGGTCTGTGTGACAGCAACATTTTCTTTGGTTTAGTCATGTTTCCAGTATAATATAGTGTAGAAACAACTCAAGGATTCTATTTTCTTTCAGACTTTTTGTTTTCAGTTTCAGTGGACTCTATTGTATTTAGAGAAAGAAAGTACCTGTAGGTTTTGCATGTCCAGCTTTGGTGTAAACCCACACAGTGTCAGAGACAGAGTCCGCCAGTTGCCTAGAAACAAAATAAAAGTCTATTCATGTTTTTTAAAAGCCAAAACAACCTGGCTATCAATAATATATCACTGGTAATATTGAGGAACCTCATTATAAGGTGCGGAAAACATGGTTACCTCTTGGCTTCAGTGGCAATCAATAAAGATTTATTCAATATTTCATCTTAAATCTGGTTTGGAAGGTCATCAGCAAGTCTGCGAGAAGCAATACTAGAAAACAGAAAATGCGTATTTTCCAGCATGAAAACGGTTTCCCCTGTTCAGGCTCCCCAAAACTGATTGGCAGCTATAAGAGGAGTAGCAGTAGGAGGAGTAGCAGTAGGAGGAGAAGCAGGGGGAAGACAACAAAAACAACAACAAAAACAAAAGAGAAAAGGGAGGAGGAGGAAGAATGAGGAATAGGATGGAGAAGAAGAACAACCTGTGTGGAGCACAGAGAACGGGTTTCACATGAAGTATGTGAGCTTGACATTGTGTACGGTAGGTACGAAACAAACCAAAGAAGTGTTACATATTAAATTTTTAACTTCAGATGTGCCTACAGGCTTGTAAAACAAATCCTGAACCTTTCTAACCCCAAGGAAACATGCACGTGAGGACTAGAAATTTACAGATCATACGTGTGAGTGCCTGAAGAAAGGTTCAAGTTGTCAGCAAAGCTATTTTTTGAGCGACGGTGTGAAAAGGCCAATAAAGTCGTACTCGGCAAAAAAAATTCTAGTTCCATCAGAAAACACACGTTTAATCATTTCTTAAAAACACATTGAAAGGATTCTACAATGTATTTGTCTACTTGTTGTACTTTACCAAAGGTTACAAATGTGTTAGACATTGGGTCAACATACTATGGTCCAAGCCGTTTTTCTCAAAACTTTGTTTTTACATCCTGAGTTACAAAATGTGGTATATCTTTAAAACTACCAAATAATTTGAAAATGTGTTTAATCAGCATGTTCAGCATTTATTTTGCTACAAGAATGCATTCAAGAATGTATAAGCAGGAGTATTAAATAACTACAAAGATGTATAATTTTAGAAATCCAGATTTCTGTATATATATATATATATATATATATATATATATATATATATATACAGTCAAACCTGCCCTGACGGCCACCTCTATAAGACGGCCACCTCTATAAGACGGCCACCTGTACAAACTGCCACTTTCCATTTCCCCCCTTGCGTTTTTCCTATATAATTTAACTGCATAAAACGGGCACCTGTCCAACGCGGCCGCGGCCACAATATTTTAACACACAACCCCTATCACACTAAGCAATAACACCTGTCTTAGACGGCCACCTTAGTGACTCCATTACGTTTTGTCATAAATTGTGAATTGACCCCTGGCGTTGTGGGCGAGCCATCATAATCTAATCACCTGTCGTTGTTGTAAAGTAGTCCCTCCAACCAATCATGTTGCGTATGTCCCTCCCACTGTTGACCAATAGGTACCAATTTTCAGCTGCTGGTGAGGTAAGCGTGTGATCCCTCATAACCCTTAAGCCCCGCCCAGAACTCATACACAAATCGTAAGTGAGATGAGTGGTCACTGTTTATCTAGTCTGTAACAAAGTAGCAAAGGACGTCAACATGAACGCGTCACTCGTTCTCCGAGTGGTGGCGACCCATGTGTTTGTTTTAACACGGCACTCGATCTTCCTCGTCTGATACATTTCGTTTTACTAGATCTATCACCCTTGCGCAAATCATCAACAAAATAAAAATTACAAAACAAAATACAAACCACAAGAAAAACAACAATACTGCGGCCACTTTCGATTGGGGCCTCAGGCCTCAGATGGAAATGGTTTGTTTTCTTCATCTTGATCAGTCCTGCCTAAGACGGCCACTTTTCTCCTTGACAATGGCTGGCCGTCTTACACAGGTTTGACTGTATATATATATACACACAAAATTGGCACATCTGTGGACTTACATCTCTAACACTTCAGAAAGCTTTTTGGCAACATGAGCTCTGAACTCAGGAGTGGTCTTTAATACATGATCCAGTTCCTCATCATTTCTGTCCTTGGGTCTGAAAAACAACACAGACAAAACTTTCTCTCACTTATCACCACATAGATTTAAGATGACACTGCAAAGTGAGTACATTCTATTGAGCACAAAGAGAACTCATATAGCAGAGAAAGTACAAAGCAAATAGATTTTCAGGCCCCAGTGTTTTTCTTTATAAATACTTTCCTATACATTGCCTGAAATTTGTACTGAGTGACAGTTGTACATGGTAAAAATATTTCTGCATCCCACAGATTTTGCTACGTGCGTGCCAGACTTTACACTGTAAGACTAGTAAGACCAAAACTAAGAGACATCAATGTTTAGCATTTGTATGTTGAAATAAATAGGCTTATTAAAGTCCAGTGCCAGAACAAACATCATAACTTTTTTATTTGAAGCTTGGAGATCTGATTTGAAATACGGCTCAAAATTGATGCAGATATATTAACAAATTTTTTTTAATCACGCATGACGTGAATACAATTATGAGAAATTCCGGATGAGCTTTAACTGTTCAATTTGATCAATTTTCTTGAATGATATGTTGCCATAGTGACAAGAATTTAACTCTTTGCAGACCTTCCAACCACTCCATAACCAAAACTAGGAGGTTTTCTCAAAATCCATCCACAAAATCGGAGTTTGAGAAAAAAAATAGGATTCTAGAAACCTAGCAACCTAAGATTACACAGTCCGTGGCAAATACATAGATCAAAACGCAAAAATAATCATGTATATTTTCAGGTCATATACAATAAGCTGCAAAAATACAGCAAATAAACTCAAATGATATTGGGTATTTCAACATCATTAAAAATGATAAATGACAAACGACCTGATTGAATCCAAATTCAAGAAAACAATCAGATTTTAAGCAGATCCTAACAGGGCGTTTCAAAGGGCAGAAAAAAATTGAAGAGCTCCGATTTTATTGAGTTCTTGGTGGGTCTGACTTTGGGCTCTGAGCATCTGGGAGTCGACGCCTTCTGACCAAACAGACAAAATTGGGGTTAACTAGCACGGTTGAGTGCATGGTGTTCTGTGGAGAAAGGTTCTTTAACAAAAACTTCTCAAACCAGTCAAACTAAAAGGAGTCATTTCCGTTAAGTAGAAGGAAATCTTCTGTGTTTTATACTGAGCCAATTAAATCAGCTGTCGAAATTTCAGACTATCTGATCATCAGCTACCCTGTCACTTATCTTGTAAGAACTCCTCTCCCTCCCGGTCCCCAGGCAGCCCCATCTCCTTCAATAGCAAATATCTCAACTTCTAATCAAGATAGATGGGTATTTTTTCCATTGAAAGCAAGACAAATAAATAAACTTTCAGATGATACTAATAACTCCACATGCTCAAAAATTGACGAGCGCCTGATTCCACCGTGTCGTGAGAAATATATCTCTTTAATATGATTGCAATAATTTATCTCAAGGCATTCCTCATTTGAACATTTTAAATAATATTTAATTTTAAATAATATTTAATATCACACCTAACCACTCAGACAAAAACTAAAAGGTTCCCACCACTTCACTTAATATATTTCTTTGATTTGACAATTTGACTCAATCAGACCTATTGGATGGAAGGTGCAGCTTCTGGATACCAGTTCCATTGCCATTTTGGGTTCTGAGGGACAACTTGCTGAGCACACTTGTCTGTGTTGAACGGCCTGTAGATCATAAAAAGTTTCAATTTTTTAATTGTTATATTGAATAAGTCACCCCTCAAAATCTGGGCCCTTTCCAAAACTAATTCCAGTAAATAGGGGGAAAAAATCATGTCGAGAAAGAATAACGATTAGAATAATGCTTTTGCAGCAAGCATTCAGAGGGGGTATGTTCTTTGTGATAGATCAGTGTTCCATTCTTCCCAAACTGCCTTCGTTAGTGTAAGGGGAAAAAAAGACAGATTTTACAGTAAGAGCCTGAGATAAATATAATTAACTCAAAATGTCATTTTTCTCTTTTTGTTTTGTCATTTTTTCAAAGACAGGAAAAATAAAGAAAATATGTTGCTTTAACTGCTTTAACAGTTTACGGGTCAAAAGTTATTCCAACAAATGGGTGCAAAAACACAGATCTAGTACAACGTCAATTTCTTACGTCACCAGACTAAAAAAAAACGAGTTTCTATTTTATCATAAAATCTTTAAATAAACGACAAATAGTCGAAGTCAAAGTTTAATAGAGCAAACGTCAAAATCTGGTCTTATATGACTCAATCACTTTGCAAGAAACATGCAATGACCAACATTTTCATGCAATACATCCTGTCTGGACAAAAGAAAAGTTAGTTAAAGGTCAGGATATAGAATGACATATTTCACCTTTAAAGTTAAATGAAGTAGTTAAAGATGCTTGATGCCTCCAAATTCAATTCTAGGTTGATTTAGATCAGGATTTGTCTCTAGAATCTAGTTACATGTAAATCTTTCTGTATGGTTGTTTAAGTTTTTAAAAATGAGACATCTTTAAAAATGTGATTTTTTATAAATTTTGTTTTGTTACTAGAAAATCTAGACTATTACTTAACTTTATTTCAGATTTGCAAATTTCTTTGTGGCATTTTAAGAGAGGTGGGGGGGGAGTACTTTTTAAATCACTGGATTGCTTCAACTATGGATGTGATATTTCAAGGAATATGGTTTTTCAGAACTTTAAAAAGACTGAAAAAAAATCAAAAGAAATGTGTTAAGACGCAGTGAAATCAGGCGCCCGTCAATTTTGGGGCATATGGAGTTAATGGTATCATCTCAAAGCTTGTTTATTTGTCTCACTTTGAATGGAAAAAGCACCCTTCTATCTTCAATAGAGGTCGAGATACTTTGGATTGAAATAGGTGGAGAAATTGGCCGACAAAGTTTGGTGACTGCCAAAGCTTGAGAGTCATTGTTAATTGTAAATTTATAGTTTTTGTGTCTTTCATCAAAGTTTTTAAGTAAAAGTCACAGAGCAAATTGTTTTTAAATGGACATAAAAAGTACTGAGCCAAAAACTAAAAATTCAACAAAAATTGCCAAACTGGCAAAAAAATGCCAGTTTCTTCAATTACATTATTTTGATGAGCGCCTAATTTCACCACGCGGCCTCACAAATATGTGCGACTTCACTATGAAATTTGCCAAAAGCACTTTGTTAGTTCATACATTTTTATGAATGGTCAATAAACTCCCATTTTAAAATGTCTTGAAACTTAACCCTACTCCTTAGGCCATAAGCATCAAATTTGGTCTTCACAGGGACCTAACATGTCAACAATGTCTCAACCTCTTCATGCTCACTAGTCTCAGGAAGGAAGTGGATGTTTACGGCAGGCTGTCAGAATATTGAAAGTGATAATTCCACGGCACATAATTTCAGCCAATAAGAACATCAGGACTATTTATAACGCTTTTCCAGAAGACATTTTATTATAATTTAACTTAATTTAAAATACAACTATGTTACAGTCTATTGTGTTTAGTTACAATATTTATCGTTTGCTATCATTTTGTACATTATTGACAACAATTAAATGTTCTCTGTGATTGAAACATGAGTGAGAGATACACAATTTTGTGCAAACAAAATAAAGAGAAGACTGTTCTTGTGCGGATGGGATCAGGTCGTGTCGGGGGCGATCGCCCCACTCGTCACCTGAAAACAATGGGCACCATGTCGATCACAATCATTGCTTTGCCCGAAAGCATGTAAATTACATTATTTTATCACTTATTTTCGCCTGCAATACATTTTTTATGTATAGAGGATGTGTAAAGTACATGCATTGTAGATCAAATATGTTGTATACCGGTACATACACAGGGTACTTTCATTCATCTCCTCGGATTAGATGCCTTGCATTGATACACTTCAACTATGCCGTATTACTGTAAGTTGGCCTAGGTCCATACATTAGATTGAATGCTATAGAAATATTGAAATATCAATCCAGATCTTTAGACTCAAGACGGTATACTGTATATTCAGACGGCATGCTGTCAAAATATCAACTACGATCTTCAGACGGCATACCGTATACATAGGTATCACTTCCGGTGTTCAGACGGCATGCCGTCAAAATATCGCTACCTTTTCTGGAATTGCAAACAATTTTAAACATCATGACAGTAACAATAAGAAGACTCCTGAAAAAGCTTTTTTTCAAAATGTTACAACATAGCCTACAATTCATTTTAAAAAATTGGAAGGGCTTCCACAATAACGACCACCCCAACAAACACAGGCGCTCTTTGGAAATTAGTGCGTATTAATACACATGATGTAAACATGGTAACGACGGTGGCGTCAGTGGGTCCACCAAAGTCCAATCCAGCCAAAATAAATTTTTTAATGGGCCTACAAATTAGTCAAAAAATTGTTACTGGCTAATGTGGTAGGGTTCACCTAGCCTACATGGCCACTTTTGTACTTAGCAATTACTTCTGTTTCTTTTATAAACAAACGGGAAGGCAATTTCCAAAGAGCCCCCAAACGCAATAAAGAAGACACTTAACCCTAACCCTACTGCCGAACCCGAACGGAGGCTACCCAAACCTAAACCCTAATCCCACCCCTACCCCTTTGTTCTACTCTGTCTCATGGTCATTGTAGCTCAATAGGGAAGTCCTCCCAAAACAATTAGCATTCATGTAAGATTTTGAGGATGAGTTCACGTACCATCAGTGCCGTTAGCAGAAGTACTGAAAGTCCTGCTTTTGGCACTGGCGCTTCCAGTTGTTGGATTAGCATAATTCTGATTCTTCTGTTTGAACAACTCAAGCAAGCTATCATCGCATACTGCAGCCTGGATTTTGAGCGATTCTTCGTCTTCTTCACTACTTTCTGACGACGAATCACTAGCACACTTTGACTTTGACGAGAGTGAAAGTGAAGTCATCCTGTCCCATATAACTCATAAGTCATTAATCAGTCAGCCCTTCCCTCAGTCTCACGACGTCTTCTTCGGTCTGCAGACGTAAGGTCAAACATACTAGAGTCTAGATCTAGACTCTAGAATCTAATCTAGATCTAGATATTAGATATATTTTAAAAAATCAATCTTTATCTAAATCTAATCTAGATTCTAGATCTAGATCTAGATTCTAGATCTAGATCTAGATTTCTATATCTCTATGTCAACCAGGAAATGTGTACTTTTTCATTCACAAAATCTGAGGGAAGATTGAAGAATACCGAACCACTCGTATACATTATTGCACAAGAATGTGGGATGGGGTTCAGGGGGGTCTCCCCCCTGACAAAATTGTAATGAATAGATCTACCGGTCCGAGATTCTCCATCGAGAGATATTATTAAAAACTGGGGAAAATCAAGAATTCCTAAGATTGAGACAAAGGACATAGAGGCACAGTCGGTCCGCTGGTCCGGTATTCTTCAATCTTACCAAATCTGATACTAGATCTAGATCTAGATCTACTGTTGCAGTAAAGGTTAAAGTTAAAGTGGCAATGAATAGTAGGTAGTCTTGACCAGAAACAAAACAACACCACACTACTTTCGTTTCGTATGATTGTGTACGGTAGTAATCGCCCCTTGATCGACAACTGTCAGGTACACCAGCAGCACCCACACACCTCTTTGATCCGTTTCAAAGATAAAATAAAACAACAAAAATCCAATAAAAGACCAAAATCAGCAGCAAATTCAAATCCTCAAGAACAATTGTTTTCATTATAATAGCTCAAACAATCCTCTGGACAATTTCAAATATTCTACTCTAAACAACTGATAAAACAAAAAGGGATAAGAGCAGAAAATTACCAAACTGGCATATTCCTTGGTTTCGGAGTCGTGCAATCCCAGTTTCGTTTTCTATTGAATGTAGGCCTATTGAATGTATGTGTATTGTGTATGACACTGAATCATGGGGAAGACTATTGTAGGCTGATTCACCTTTATTTCCCAAGAAAATATCGGACCATGGTTTTTTTCCTGCCCCTCAATCCTGATTGGAATAGAGCTAGATCTAGAATCTAGTCTAGATTTCTAGATAAATCTGTTTATGGCCGAGAAAATATTTTCTCGATTATTCTGCAGGTGAGTACACACAAAGTGTTGAGCAAAACTATCCAGAGATCTAATTTATTATAAATCTAGATTCTAGATCTAGATATCTAGATCTAGAATCTAGATCTCTAAATGAGTAATATTAGTTTTACATTTTTTTAAATATTGAATAAATGCACTTGTGTGAAGTAGCTAGGGTGAGTAATATCGTGAGGAAAAAAGCTATAAGGCCTAAGTGTTATTTCTACTATATCTAGATTCTAAGTCTAATATAAAGGAGGATGGCAAGGTAACCAGTCATCATGTAGATTAGAAGGCTTTCAATTCAAATTTCAGACTTTCCAGAGAGGTGATTACAGGATATATATATATATAAGTGATTAATAAGGCTAGTGAGTACAGTGTACGGGGTAGTAATCTCTAATAAGTGTACTGATAACATGTAACTAGGGCGGGCCTATAGAAAATTTGGAGATAGGAGGCCTGTTTTTTTAGCCTATAAACCTGGTATATTATAATATTATTTCATATAATATTGATTCTTGACAACCTGACAGGATGATAGTGTTGATAATAAGCATCTTTTGTTTTTTACACGTTTTGCAATTTTTGTTGGGTGTGATGTGTGATTAATTAATCAAAGCTTCCTTTTTTCATATTTATTTGCTAGTATGTCAAAAAAAGTAATATCCAGTGTTTTACAATCCCCAGCATGTAAATTTAGATCATATTGGAGTAGGCTGCTTTGAACCTGTCTGTCAGGATAAAATGAAACTGAGAGGGATACACTTAATAAAATTCATTCCCCAGGGAAATTGAACTTATATATATATATATATATATATATATAGATATATATATCTGCGCCAAAGTAAGTGCCTCACATATTGTTCGATGTTTGGGTACGGGAGAGAGAATCAAGTTCAAGAAAAGGATGTTTGAAAGGCCCTGTGTTTTATTTTTTTCTCAGGTGTCTAGTGCACAGTGACTGAAAAGTGATGTCTGATAAAAAGAAAGGTAACTGTCTAAATCTTGATTGTTAGTTACAACAGAACTTATGTATTATGTGATGTAATGTGCATTATTCCACCATGTATCAGATACACAACAGATGCCGATCTGTACTATGTGTATTGCATGCCAACATTACTTCGAAAACTCATTTAAGAGTAGAGAGTCATCAATGATCGTGAGATCCAATATATGTATATAAAGAGAGAGAGAGAGAGATATCTTATCACTGATTTCTGAACAAGGTCAGCTGGTTAAGCATGTATCAGGAGACTATTTGTTTATCGATTAAAGATATATATAAATAGTACTTGTCATGACACTTGGAAACAGGTGCTTGTCAAGTTTTGGGCATTGAATATATTGTGGTATATTCTGCAAGATTGTTCATTTGTTTTGATTCTGATTAAAGAAATATCCATCAATCATTAGCAGTGGTGGGGATGCAATTAAAATTGTTGGAGATTAACAAAATCAGAAGTAAAATTCGAGAAAATGGCCACCAATAATTGATGACTTCCAAATTCTGAGGGTCCTTGCAAGCAGCAAATTTACATCTTTTGTGCCTTTGATCAGCTTTTTCTACTAAAATCATCTTTCACTACGATGCCACAAATATAATACACATGTGAGGTATGATTGAGGTGAAATCAGACACTCGTCAAAATAATTAAATCAAAGAAACCGGCACTTTTCTGGACGTTGGGCTTTTTCATTTATATTTAAAAACACATAGATCTATTCTGTCTGGATTTTACTTAAAAGCGTTGATCAAAAGCACTAAAAAAAATAAATTTGCAATTTCTAAAGATACTTAACAAATTGCCCAAACAACCGGGAGACATTAAAGAAGAATGGAGCCACTTCAAAGCAAATGTGAACAGAGCATTAAAAGAAGAGTGCAGCACCAGGAAAACCGGAGGGCAGAAAAGGAAAACAACTATAATAATATGGTGGAATGACCAAGTAAAGGAAGCCATTCAACTGAAGAAAAAGGCATTCAAAAAGTGGCAGAAATCAAAGAAAGAGAGGAAGATACATCCCATACAGAAAGGAGCACCGCCAAACAACAAGGGTTGTAAAAGAAACTAAGGACAGATCCTGGACAGTATATGGAGAACAGCTGGCAACAAAATGTAAAGAAGACCCCCAGAGAGTTTTACAAGAGCATTAAAAGCATGAGGATGCAGGAAGAACCATTCAACTCAACTGAAACTGAAATAGTCGATGATGAGAACGGAAACCCTATTTTCAGTACACCAAATACATGTATTAAGGAAATCCTACAGGAGAAACAACACCAAACAGCTTCTCACCAAAAGAAACCACTCCAGAACCGTCAATACTGCTGAGTGAAACTCAACACGTTATAAAGAAAAACCCGACAAACAAAGCGCCAGGCGTTGATAACATCACAGCAGAGGAGATCAAGCTATGCTGCCATATCAGTGAACTCTGGCTATGGAGGATATTTAACCTGGCCTTGTCGAAAAATACAACACCCGATGACTAGCAACGAGCTGTCATTCTACCTATTTGGAAAAAGAAAGGTAACAAAAGAGACTGAAACCTACAGAGGAATATCCCTTCTCAGCCATGTGGGTAAAATGTTTGCCAAGGTACTGGAAATGATAATGAGACCAACTGTAGAGACTCAACTCAATGAATCTCAGTTTGGCTTCAGAAAAGACAGGGGCTGTACTGACGCTATTTTTGTATTAAGACAGTTGTGTGAGACTGCCTTTGCACAATCTTGACAAAAACCTCAATATCGTCTTAGTGGATCAGGAAAAGGCCTTTGACTGGGTAGATGGATGTCAACTTTGGGAAGTCTTAGAGGAATATGGTGTAAGAGGACAATTGCTGGAGAACACCGTGGCACTTTATAAAAACTGCCTGTGTGCGTAAAATCATCAGAAGGACTGTCGGACTGGGTCCCCATCAGGTCTGGGGTGAGACAAGGGTCTGTTCTCTCTCCGCTTCTCTTCATCACTTACATGGATGAGATCACGAAATCACCAAATGACAACATCACTGAACTGAACGAGCTTCTGTTTGCTGATGATCAGAGTATGTTAAATACAAATGAAGAGCAATTACAAAAACACACCACAAAATTAAATGAGGAATGTAAACACCTGAACATGAAAATCTCCATCTCAAAAACAGAAGTTATGAAGGTCAGCTTAAACTCCACATCCTTATTGGCGGAACACGGCTCCTACAAGTAGAAGAATGTAGATATTTGGGAAGCATCTTCACAGGAGATGGGCGTATGGACAAAGAATAGAAACAAGAACTATAAAGGCAAATGCGGTGACATACCAGCTAGCACCCCTACTCAGTCACAAGAACATCCCAACTGAAGTGAGATCCCAGCTCATCAATAGCATCTTCATACCATTAACATATCAGTGCCAAACATGGTCTCTAAACAAGGCACAAGAAAGAAAAATAAATGCATGCTAAATGAGGTGTCCCGCCAAACCATCAATGTCACCAGAAGAGACCGCATAAGAAACGAAACCGTTCGTCTACAAACTGGAATACCACCACTAATAAAATCCAAAGAGCATCAAAGAGTCAAATGATTTGCACATCTAACCAGAGTGCCCCAGAAATGACTAGCGACTAGAGCGTACAACGCCCGAGAATCAGGCTTCAAATCAAGAGGAAAACCAAGAAAGACCTGGCTGGATGGGGTTAAAAAGGTCCTGGAACAACGTAACATATCTATCACAGACGCTACACACCTAGTTTGACCTAGCACAGACGCTACACACCTAGCACAGGACCGAAACTTGCTCCTCCCCAAGACATCCAAAGGATGCCAGAGGAAGGAAAAAGTAAAAGTAAAGTAAATAAAGACACTCAAGCCCAAAAATTGACAAGCGCCTGTTTCCATCGTGTCGTTACACATATAGGCCTTTAGTGGCCATTATTTATTATTGTCATACACACCAGTATGTCAAAACGATGTTTTCAAGAGAAGCAAAAATCTGTTTTATTTCGGGCAACGCATAACTTCTACTACTTCTCCTCCTCCTCCTCCTCCTCCTCCTC